TACTCTGTGTTTATACAAGGTCTATCAATTTAATTTTTAGACTGCTTTAATAGAAATAAAAGGACATAACTATTGAAGATATTAGGTTTACTTTTCTTCAACATAATCTCCTCTAAGTACATTATAAAGATTGTTGGTATAGGTCATAGAAGACCTGTTTAAAGATAAACACTGCAAGTCGCAAGTGCAAACGCTGTCAGTATATTGGATGTCCTGAATATCCTTGAAACATATACCTTTTAGAGGAATTTTCAGCATGGAATGAGCATGAAGTTGGCAAGGAACCAGATCCAGAGAGTAAGGAAGATTTTGAAGCTGAACCACAATATTTTTGATCAGAAATGACCTTATAAATGATGACAAATGTACAGGGGCATTATCATGGAGAAGATGTGTGGAGCTGAATTGATAAAATTCCAGTTGAACATGGCAAATTGTTTTTAACAATCATTGCATGACCTTTTTGTAATATGCAGTAAGCCTTTTTGGGTCAACATACTCAGGGCAGGACATCCATCTCATGTGCTCTGACCACTGTCTCCACAATCAACATTTTTATGAGCTTTTTGCATATAAGTTTGTAACTATCTGTAAATAAACTCATGATATCGTCATTTAGATTTTTTCCTACACAAAAAACAAAAAGTCGACGACATGCCAATTTTGTTTGAGATGCGATTGTATTGAACAACCTAGCTGATTTCGACTATCGGGAGGTAGACCTTAACGGTCCCCTCAAGCACTATTTGTGTATTAGACCAGACTAGATGTTTGCAGTGCGACGGTTTATAACTTTGTTAAATTTCGTCTGATTTTAATTTGTACGTAAAATTTTATTATTTTTATTAATCATGAATTGCAAAAAGGCAAATGAAAAGCAACAGAAAATTAAAAAAATGACTAGAATCACAATGGAACTGAAAAAAAAAAAATTGTTGAGAAATATGAAGGTGACGTGTGTTCGAGTTTTAACTGTTGCATACTGTATTCTGAGAATGACAATATCGACAATCATGAAAAATACAGACATTATTAAATCTGCTAACGTTGCAAAAGGGGTTAAATTATTTTATAACCCCATTAATATACCATACTAAGAGAGGTTTTCTTTTTTACATGAGAACAGATTAATTATTTTTACATTACTTCTTATAGGAAAGGTTGGATTGGTATACGTCCTATTCGGTATAAGTCCAAACATCAGGAACTGATTAAGGTTAGGTTAGGTTAGTCTGTTCAGTATGTCTGTTTTTTAAATTTTTTGAATGTTGGATCTATTTAATTATTTTTAAAGATAGGTAAAATAACAGTTTAAAGCTTGGAATAAAAATTTATGAGTGAAGCTCAAGGACCAAATATTTCACGTTCTGTCAGTTATATTTGAAAATTATCTGACGATGTTCACTGTAGACTTAAGTAAATGTTCATAGAATTAAATATTTGTTTTTTTTTTTTTACTGTATGATTAGATATTTTTGTGTTATTTGTACCAAAAAAATGTTAATCACAATTTTCAGTAGCAGGGTAGTATCCACAAAAAATTTTTATCACAGGGTGTCATAGTTAATTAGCCTTGTAAATTTCAAAGGTCTTGAGATGTTTTAGTCATACTTTGTCTGTTGTTTGATGTAATAAACTAGTGTCATAAAAGTTGACCTGTATATTCTCCTCTATTCTCTCCCTGCATATGCAGCTAGTGCTGTGATGGTCATTTTCTTTTTTGATATCATGTTGATGTTTTTTAATTTTTATGGCTACAACCCCTGACTGTGACACCAATATAAACAAGTGATCTGTTCAATCTTCAGTCACATAATGAGATGGAGTAAATATTCAGATTTTGTATGGTTTAGTGACAAAGATCTAGATTTTACTACTTTACTACAGAGCTTTTATTGAGCACATGTCCTGTTCTTATACACACAAAGAAAAAAAGATCAGACACAAAAGAGGATTGTATTTTTATACTTGGAACCAGAGTGCCATCTGTGGGAAATGCCCATAACACAAATAGCAAAATTTAAAAATATTAAAATTACATCGATTACAATAGTAACAATAATAATAATAATAGCAACAACAACAACAATAATTATTATCCCCATTTTTCCTTTCTTAACTGTAAACACTTGGCTGGAACTTACCATCGACCATGTCCTTGTCATTTCTGATGATTGAAAAGATGAACGATTTTAACCCCTGTCAGTTTAGCTATCTCCCTATATATGTTGGATAGCACTCAATTGTATGTGACAACCACAAAGTTTTTTCAAATAGTGTCCTTTGGATTATCTTGTGCAGTGACCTAATAAGACCATGTTGTTTTGCCATTGATGTGATATGTTGCCATTCTTCCTCTCTATCCTTTATTAGTGAACAGTGTGTGAAAAATCTAACCAATGTACAAAATGTTGCCATTTTGTATGAAAATGAATCATGCAAATTGTGTGGTATATACAAAGAAGGAAAAGTTTTTTGTGGTATATACATTGGGAAATGTTTTGGCCTTTCATCCTGATCAATATATCCAAAAAATGTGCTTCCTGGTTCTTTCTATTTGTGTTTTTGTGTTATTTGTTGCATATACAACCAGTTTGGAGTTGTGGTTAATTTTTTTCGTTGGTTTTCTGAATGCAAAATTTTTTCTTCTTATTTGAGGATGATGGCAACCTCCGTTCCATGCTTTCTCTCTTTATTTTAGGGTCATATTAAAAATTAAAAACATCACAAAAGTTGGAAAATAATATAATAATCCACAGACACTTTCTGTACTGATACATATCATAAGTGTGGCAAGCAATGATATGTTATTTCTGACTGTAATGAACTTTAACACATTGTTGTAAATTTTGTTACCAGTTACACCAGTTACAGTCTCTAGTTACAGGGCTGTGGAGTCATTTAAAAATCTGACTGACTTCAACTTTGCCTTATCATCTGATTCTGATCAAGGATGGACTTGTTACCAAAACAGGCTCAAAATTCTGTTATCATGTGACCTCAGAATAAAAGCTTCAATAAATAATAAAGTTCTAGATAAGAGTTCTAATAAAGATAGAATGTAGAAACTTTTTTAATCTGAAGCTAAAGGACTCCTCTAAGTAATGACATATTCACTACATAAATATGTATGTGATAATTTTTATTTCACTTGCTGTTATATATAACAGAGGGAAAGTGTAGCAATCAGTCAAAAAATGACCCCCAAATTTTTATATTTTTGGACTCAGGACACATTGAAATGTTCAGATATAGAAATCTGTTCAATCTTCGTGTCACAATAATGGGATGGAGTAAATACCTGGCTGGAACTGGCTGGAATACATACAGGGGTTTCTTCCTGTATGTATGGATGTTAGAATGTGTGTGGACACTTTTAGTTTACCCTGTTTGAAGCTTAATAACTTGTTTTTGAATCTGAGTTGGATGGTTTAACAAATGTAAGTAAAAGTAAAGAATGGCTCCAAGCTAATGAAATAACCCTTACCAGAGGAGATAAAAGCAAAAACATTGTTCTTATGAAGAAACATACATACACTAAGTTGCTTGAAGAATACATCAGTTCTACAGAATGCCGAACAATAGATGAAGAATATTTAGACAAACTCCATAATAGAGTTACCAGATTCACCAACTGACCACTAGCTGAACACCTGCAACTAGGAAATGCTACCATGCAATCACCTGAGATACTGCGGCTATTCGGCTATGCTAAAACCCATAAACCAGGCAAGCAAATCCGGCCGATTGTTGACAAATCGAGATCTCCAACCCTACCTATTGAAAAGGGTCTACATGAGCTCCTTAAAAACCATTTGAAAGATTATAGTTACACCATTTCAAACACTCAGGAACTCATCACTAAATTACAGAATATTGCTCTGACAGATCAGGAATTTATTACAGTTCTAGACTTTGAAGCTATGTATCCTTGCATTAAATTGGAACTGTACTTCGTTGCCCTTAGGGATTTTCTTTTCCAAGCCTCTTCACCCAAACCTAAATACCACAAGCAGGTTTTGGAGATTGCCCATCTAATGTGCTACACTTCATTCTTCACTTTCAACCAGCAAATCTATCTTCAGGAAAGGGGAGTTCCAATGGATAGCCCCCTCTCTGGAGATCTCTGTGAATTAATTGTTAGAAAATTAGATAGATAGTGTTAGAGTCCTTCAACGCAGAAATCATTCTTTACACGCTCTATGTCAATGATATTCTTATCATTTGGAAATTCAAGCTAGATCTAAACACCGTACTGCAGCTTCACATGGAACTTGACATTCATCTGTTGGTCCATTTTTAATGATTAGGACATGGTGCACTATAACAGCGCTGTTCAACTTATCATAGCCCGCGGGCCATATTTTCTTCACCAAACATTTCAGAGTCCTTCAGGGGGCCAAGAAGGTTGATAAACCACATGACATTTGCATAGTGCTACGGTTTAGTAAGCACTAATTGGTCAGTGAGTCCGATGTTGACGCTATAAAAAAGGCGACAGTTTGACACACCGAATATATGTCACTCTCGTCTAAGTTTGACTTGGGAATTTTTTTGTTCAATAATAAATGTGAATTCTTCTTCCTGGAAAAAATAAGACCTAGTGCATTTTTCAGAGCAAAAATTAATATAAGACACTGTCTTATTTTCGGGGAAACACGGTAGTAAAATAATTTTAATATTAATAATAATAATAATAATTTAGTAACATAAATTTATTCATAGTAAAATGTACTCGCGGGCCGTAAAAATTATTTGGCGGGCCGCCAGTTGGACAGCGCTGCACTATAAAGTTTGTGAACAAGATGTCAATATGACATGAAAACACAACTGTACAAGATCAACTTTTGCGTATACATACACGAGCCAAAGGCATTCACTGAATACTTTTAGTAGAAAGGTTTAACATGAGAAAGACAATGTTGCCAGTTTAGGAATTAAATTAACAGACCTTGTATGTATGTTGTACACTGATTAATTAATGATTAAAATTATTTCAGTAACAATAATACAGTTAGAACGACCTGAGTATTCTATAGAAGAACCCAATGAGCCAGAACATGTTACTAAACTTTCTGTAACTGCAGTGAGAAGTGGAGATATAAACCACATATCCAAAGTTCGTGTTAATACAAAAGATGGAACTGCAATTTCGGGTATTGATTACCAAGCCAAAAGTTCAATATTATTTTTTGATTATGGTAAGTCATTCAGATTTAAATTGTGTTGTTACTAACTACTGAACACATTTTTTTGCAAAAGTTAATTAAATAATTTATTTTATTACTAATGATTGATTATTACATTGATCTAATGATTGAGATTTTTCCATTAATATTTTACAGCTTATTAATAATTAATCAATATATATTATAAAGGTAAGTGTACAATATGCATGCTGTTAAAACTCAAAAATGAGTCCTGGTACAATCAAGGGAGTTATATGATGTGGTAGCCCTCTATCCTCCATCCATGAAGAAGGTTCCCATTTTTGCCTGAAGGGTGTGCTGGTGAAGATATAAGGGCTGGAAGTTTTGCTTTCTAGAAATTTCTAGAACAGTCCAGAACATTCGAGAGTATTTGAGAGCATTCCACAACATTCCAGAATGTTCCAGGATGTTCTGGAACATTCAGGAACATCTCGGAACATTCCAGATCATTATGGAACATTCCAGAACACTCTCAAATGTTGTGGAATGTTCTGGAACATTATGGACCATTCGAAGCCTTTTTTTGTATGGGTGGGACTACCCATTGGTGGGGATATATAAAGCAAGATCCGTTGTGGGTTTGAACATCAGTTTCTTATCAGTGACGAAGGGAAGAACCAAAAAAGAAGTGAAAATTTCAAAGTAGTTCAGCGAGTGAATAAAAACAAACAGTGGAAGTGTGAGTAGTCAAAGTGATACAGTGACTGAATATAAATCAAAAATAAAGTGTGAAAACTGTGTAAAGTGTACTTAGTGTATTTCTTAATAAAAAGTTAATTTGATTTATATTTTATACAATGCTCAAACTTAATAGAGGAGGAGCTCTTGCCAGTTTTGAATTTTCTTTTGAATATTAAAGTTGATATCGTCGACAATATTATTTTTAGTTGCCAAAATTGCCCTTTGAAATAGCCACTCCGAATAATAATAAGCACAGAGCCCAAACAGTTAGGAGTTGAAGGTTGAAATTTGGTACACAGTTAGGGTGCATCATGGGAACGTACACTAAGAAGTGATTTTTCGAAATCCCCTGCGGGAGAGGGACAAGATTAAGGCTTCCCGTGAAGAACTCAGCTTCTATTATACTATTTTAGATGTGGTTTTTTGTGTTTTTGATTACATTTTAATAGGGTACGTCACAAGAATGTACACTAAGAAGGGATTTTTCAAAATTCCCCCGCAGGGGAAGTGTTAACAATGGAAGTGGTTAAGTAACAATTGAAGTGTTAAGAGAAAGCAATGTGCAAGATTTACAGGCGCAGATGCAGTTTTTTGCGTTTTTGTGAGAAATCAAACGTAATTTTAGACCCATCTAAAATTTTTCTAATTAGTCTGGAAACAAGGTAACCTAATTCTTGCATTCTGAGAAAACGGGTAAGATTGGCTATAATGTAATAATCTTAATCTTTGCTATCGTTACTTTTTGCTTGAGCAACACCGGGCTTATCTGCTAGTCCACCAATAATTTTGAATATACAGTAGAACCTCGATTATCCGGATTTTCGATTATCCGGATTGTTCAAAATAAACAAAAATTTTACGAATTTGCACTTGACGAATTACGATACTGTTTATGTACTGTACGTGATGGAATGCATAACTTTTTTTGTTTCATCTCACCCGGCACAGTGGTCGTAAACTCAAATATATTTTGCATCATAATAAAAATATAATTTGACATACGTATTTATAAATAATTTATATCCAAATTACATCATTTCTATGACCAAGGGCGGCGTATGGGCAACGTGGGCCACTGCCTATGCCTCGTGGTCCGAAGAGCCTCGCGCCTCGAAGGTTTATGCATTACTTAAAATCCGCAAACGCGACGAAAAAATTTTACTTGTCATAAAACGATAAATAGTTTGTCAAATTTTTATTCACAAAAATGCAGTTTCAACTGCTTTTTATTTTATAAAATCCGGCTTACTTTCGCCACCAGAGGGCCTTTTAAACAATAAGTAGTCTGTTAGCGCTGGTCAGTAGTAGTCCAAATTCAATATGAACGTTTGTTTCTTGAAAATTTGACCACGATTTAAATACAGTATTTATTTTTAATATTACCGATATGTCATCGAAAAGAAAACATGTTGTGTTATCATTAAAAGACAAATTAAAATATTTGAAAACCCACGAAAAACCTTTTTTTACGAGTGTTATGTCACTATTAAATTCCACTCGTAAAAAAAGGTTTTTCGTGGGTTGTTATTATTCAACGCAGTGTTAAGTTGTTGGAAGTCGTTTATCTTAAAATATTTGTTTCGATTATCTGGATTTTTCCTTATCCGGACTACCTTCATCCCCAATTAGTCCGGACAATCGAGATTCTACTGTAATTTATTAAGCAGGTTCTACATCAATTGTTTTAACATTAATTTATTTAAATATTTTAATTTTCTATGGATAAAATGCAATGAGTATAACTTGCAATAGCATAAAATTTAACAAAGTAGTATAAAAATGGAAACAAAACTTTTTAATAACCTCTCTATTGTATATCTTATGCTTTTGGAACACCATGTCACTAATATGCAGTTTAGAAGGTATCATCTGAAACATTAAAATGTTTTTTATTTCTTTTACTGTTGATGTAATTATAAAATAAATGAAGGGAAACAGAATAGGGAATTTGGAAGGTAAGGCACAAGATTTTCATTTATCATATCACTTCATTTATGTTTTATTTATCAATTAATAATAATAGTAAATGTTAAAATAAACTCAAAAAATTAAATAGAAAGTAATTTTAATAGGAGTAATATTCAATGACATGAATTTGAGAGTTGATTGTTTTGGCTCTTATTTGCTGTAGAGGCCTCTTAAGATATTCAGACACATTCACTAGCAAAAGTGAAAGCAGAATGCAAAAAATAATTATTACTACCATTTCATAAAACAGGAATAGTAAACATGAACGATCATGAGAATTGCAGCAAATGTTAAAGCAAGATGGCAGCTAATAATAAATAAAAGCAAGCATAAAAACAATTTATTTATCAAAAAGAAAATTTCAAAATTACATTAATTACAACAATTAAGACCATAATTAGAAAGTATAGTCTTTGTAGTTGCTATATTTAAGTCTCTCTCTTACCTATAGAAATTTGTCATTCCTATTAGTGGCAAAAGTTTTTTGCCAGCAGAAAAGTTCACCATGTTAAAATGTGATTTGCAATTCACAAACAGAAAAATTCACTAAAAAGGATAAGAAATTTTGACACTTATCCAACTCACTTTTTACCAGAATTTGCTCTATGTAAGAAACAAGATTAAAATTAAGGCATTAAAATTATTGGGCTGCAATNTTATCATATCACTTCATTTCTGTTTTATTTATCAATTAATAAGAATAAAATATATAATAATAATAACTCATATCATTAACAATTCATAAGTCATGCCAAATTTTCTCACGCAGGGCATCACTACATGAAACCAAAAAACAACAATACATTGGAACCCCGGTTAACGAACTTAATTCGTTCTGTGACTCCATTCGTTAACTGAACTGTTTGTTAACCGAAGCAATTTTTCCCATAGAAATTAATGTAAATGCAATTAATCCATTCTAGTCTCCAAAATTTTTGTTATTTTATTTTTAATATACAGTAATTTTCTTTGATGAAAATGTAGGAAAACATAGTATCTATCATTACAGCAACAAACATGTAAACTTTGTTTAATAAAATAGCATTGTACATACCTTCGTTTGTTGTAGTTGTTGGCAGAAAAGTGGAGATATACGAACCTTAATGCTTAGAAGGGGAATCTTTCCAAAAAAATAACAGGTAGCACTTCATCGGAAGATTCTTCGAGTCGAAGTCTCTTTCAGTAAAAAACCCACCAGTGGCTAAGTGGTCTTCGTACCTTGAACATGGGGAGTTTGTTTGTGAGTTCACACCTCGCTCGGACGGGCTGGCCACGCGGAGTTTTCCGGGTTTTCTCCACGTCTGTAACGCCTAAATAGGGGCCAGTTTCCCTTAAAAACACCTCCCAGAAGGCATTCCCCCTATTCACATCGCCCAAGTGTTGCGTTGCCATAACTTAACAAAAAAACAAACTCTGTCTGTAAGGAACAAGAAATTGATCTAAAGTTGATTGTTTTACTCTTTTATGCAAAATCTTTCTCAAATGCGATAGCGCGTTGTCGTTTTCTATTGCCACTATGACTTTTTTCATTCTTTGATGCCATATTGATTAAATATATAAATTGCAAAACTGAAAAAGAAGTATAGCACAAACACTTGGAAAAGCAATGCTTAACTTGCGCATGCCTAACACCAACTAAAATTTGACACAAAATACCGTTACGTTCATTATCTGAATTTTGTTTGTTATCCGAGACAAAATTTTTGCAAAATAAAAGTTCGTTAACCGATTTGGTCATTAACCAGGATGTTCGTTAACCGGGGTTTCACTGTACCAAAGACCCAGCACAGTACAGACCAATTACATGTCTTCCAACACTGACTATTGCAATGCAAACAAAATATACAATCATATTGATGAACACAACATTCTTACAGAACAACAAAAAGGCTGCCATAGAAATTACAAAGAATAACTACTCATTGACTCCATTATCCTACAACAATTTCATGTGCCATACATACATTTCATGTGTGATGATGCTAACATCTTGGAAAAGAATATTGAGGAGAAACTATCTGAATTAATAACTTGCTGGCCTAAAAAGAGATGGCCTCATGTGATAATATATTCTGTACACACTGATATCACGAGGGAAGATCTATTACGATTAATATAGCAACAAAATAATCTCATAAATCAAAATTATACAGAACAGGAATTCGAGGAACAATGTCGCATAAAATTCGTACTTGGTAAGAGTGATGCTACTTTTTGGAATTGGATTGTACAGATGTCTCCAAACATATGGAAAATGATATTACAACTAGAAAAGCTTAACATTGAATGATCATGCTGTAGGGCAATGGACTTTTGTCCAATTTTACAATGTTTTAACTGTT